AGAATGCTCAAAGCAGCCACTCTCTATATCAAAGAATTTTAGTTTAGTACAAAACTTTATTAATAAACAATACTGCAAAACTATAAAAGTGAACATAGAGAATCTGAACAGGCCTGGAGCCTGTACCATCCGTCAACCTCTGGGACAGCAGCAAGGCCCCAGGCAGCCTTGTAAACAAACTAGAAAAAGCAAAACTTTTCAGTTTAACAGCAGTCTTGAGATTTGGCTCTGAGCAGGGATGTTTGGAAGAAATTCCTCGTTTCTGCTTTACAACATTTTCATCCAACATTCTGAAGCACATAGGCATGGATGAAAAAAATTACCTAATCAGTGGCAAGAAAAAGCCTAGAACTCTGAAAATAGAAACTACAGAAGCAGGAGGTTCCCAGCTCCGTACTGCCCTTGCATCCCATGAGGCAGGTAAAGAGCTCTAGCAGCATCATGTTCTTCGTGGTCTAGTTAAATAGCTGCAAGCACAGAATAGGCTAAGCCAGAGCTCTCGACAGACACACGTTTTCCAAGAAGCCTGCATAAAGAGGTTGGTGTTCCCTAGGCTACCCAAGCTACCCATCGCTTCACCCCTGCGAACATTCTACCTTTTCAGGACGTTAATCTTGTTAGCAAAGGGTTACTCAGCTCCGTTTGACTAGAACAGGCTGGGGACCCTGTCACGAGCTGCTCCACAGCAGACTACAGGAGATGGTAACCTCAGACAAGTGATGACAAGCAGATGTGGCAGGCTCAGCAGGATCTGAGAACATCTTTGAAGTTTTCCTAGTGCCTCAGAAAATGGGTGGTAACTCCCCTTGGAGGAGGAACTGAGTACTGACACAACTTTCTAGAAGGGGAAGCAAAGAGAATCAGGGAAGCAAGATCAGATCCAGGGAGGAAGGACCAAGTTGAAGTCTAATGCCCTGCACGGCTTATAGTGCCCATTGCCAACACTGAACTTGTACCCTGTGATCCAGAAAGGATCAAAATACTAAATCAGTTCTCTAGATCCTTCCCTTTTTGCTTCCTTCCCTGTGATTTAGAATTGTTGCTTTTTGTTCTCATTTCCTCCAGCTCCCAAGACAGTAAGTTAGCTTTGAGTTTGCTTGTCCCCGGGTTTGCCTGCCTCTGCCCTCCACGTCCGGACAAACTCCAGCTTCCAATCCCCTGTTCTGTCATGGCTTTCAAAAGATGTTCTTGCTTCTTGGCCACCATCTCCTCCCGGCTCCAGATCAGAATATTAAAGCCTGAGAGGAAAAATTAAACACTGTGCATGAGAAACTCTACATCCAATACAATACCTTAGGCTATGTCACTTAAATGCCAGAAATTCAAAATGCTTCGCCTGTTCTAAGATATTTCCAAGGTACAGAGGACGCAAAGGTATTTATTGCAGATGCTATCTCCACACAGCCACTGAAATTTGATCTATTTAAGAAACATAAGTAATTCCTAATCTCACCTGTCAGAGGTCTAAGACCTACATCTATAGCCAGCTCCCTTAATCCCACATAGGCTGCGAAAAACTGAGTAACCTTGGCTCTGCAGCCTAGGAAATGAGATAAATTAAATGAAGGGAGAGGGTACAACCTAGCAGGAGAAGGTTTCTCCTCCTGCCCCCATCCTTTTCTGCTACTGTGCCATGGCCAGCAGAAGGCAGCAGCTCCCTGCTGTGGGGGGGCTTCTTGCTCCTCCAGATTTCATCTCGGGAATGTTTCACAGGAGATGACTAGCAACCTGTTTTCTAACTGCAAAGGTGGAAGACGAAAAAGAAGGTCTTCATCTCTTTTAGAGATGTAGGAAATTATAGAGGACTACTAGCAAGTGGGATTTGGGAAACCCTCACTCACAACTTGCTTTAGTCTGGAAAAACAAGCCTGCCCTTTTCCGGGACTGGAACCCACCCATGCTTCGTGCCCCAGGATTTCTTTACTTACCCATGCCAGAAGCCAGCGTATCTCCCATCGGGTTAAATTTATTGAGCTGGAAATGGAAACACAGTCAGAGTCTGTAAGAGCATCACTGCTTACATAACTGAGTCATAAGAGGACCACGGCTTCTATAACAGCAACAAACTACCTGGAAAACCCAGTGTTCCCTGAGGAACATCACAGAAAACTCATAGATGACAACAGGCCAGCCCTGCTCGAGTCAGCAGCTTTAGCCAGCAGCCATACCCCCCATGAGAGCGTGAGTCTGTCACAAGTAAAGAGGATACTCCTACTGTTCGAGTCCCTAACCCGTATCTCTCGGCCGCGGTTCAGTACACAGCAGTCCTTTCAGCTGCAGCGCTCAACTCACCGAGATGATACCAGAAGCATTTGGATCATGGAGCTGACAAACCATCTCCCCGGTGTTTCCATCGAATACATCAACAGTTCGTAGCTCATTCACCGTGTACCCCGGGAACTTAGGGTCTGGGTAGCGACCTGCTACAATGAGGTCATAGCGAGGATGCCATGTTGCCTAGTCATAGAACAGAGCGATGGGCAGTTAAGAGAAAGGGACAGAGCTCATACTTGCACACATCAGACAACCTGCAGCGCGAGCAACAGTTTGTACATCCCACCCACAGCTTGAGGAACATGAGTGTCCTCAGAACAGTGCTCTGCTGGGAGTTGCAGCAGTTGCATCCACCCACCATCCTGCCCAGAAACCAGACCACTTCTGATTTACAGCCAGCTGCTAGCACCAAGCGTGATACTCCTCTCAGACTGCACTGGCTTAACTCACCTTAATAGGTGTGAGGTGCTGAAACTGCCGATGGGGATGTGGGATCAGATGCTGGGGCTTGGACCAGTCTGAAGATGAGTAAACCCTGATTTCACTGCGCTGGTCTGTGCTCAGGAGCTTGGCACCGTCTGTTGGGCTGAAGTAAGCTAGGAGAGGGGGACAATAAGGCGAACAAAAGATCACAGCGCTGTGACTGACAAGAAACATAAAAGTCACGTTTCTCTGATTGGAAACCCATTGCTATTTCTTTAATAGGGATGTGAATACGGCCGTGGGTCCCAACAGACACGACTTTACTCGTCTCAACCAACCTCAAAGCTCTTACAAACAGTAAGCTGAAACCTACAGCACTGGGTTACCTAGGAAGAATTATTATTCTCATTTCAGAATCACAGAAAGAGACATTGCAAAGAAAGGAACTCGCTCATTCAAATGGAAAGTTAGTGGAAAGGCTGGAGACAGACACCTCTAGTTTGGACTTCCATGAAGTGGTAAAACTGCACCCAAGAAACAGAGGTTTGAGTCCCATGCTCTGCTTTTTGTCAAAGGAACTGCCCCAATGAATTCAGTTTTCTAGGCTCAGCCACTGCTGATGCTTCCACACTCACCTCTCAAGGCACACTGCCACGGTTTGTGTGGCAGGTCTAAGACTGTGCTGCAGCTGCCCCATCCACCTCCCTGCCTCTGGCCACACGTTCCCAATGCCTGCCTTGCTTTAACAGTAGCTACCGTGCAACTTCCGAATCTGAGCGAAAGCTAACATTGCCACAACAATACAAGCTGAGCTGAGTGGACTCCCTGCAGACATCCCTGCAATGAAATCCTTATCTCAACTCACCTGCATTGACAGGTTTGTCATGAGGAAGCAGATGAAGAAAACTCATTTTGGTTTTGATGTTTCTGAGGTCCCAGATTTTGACTGTCTGATCCACAGATGCTGTGGCCAACAACCACTCACATCGGGAGTTAAACTCCACATGAGTCACTTTCTTCCTGTGCAATTTCAGCTTCCAAATCTGCAGCAGAGGAAACAGAAAATCATACAGAAAAAAATAATCAAGGTCCGGAATAAAGAAATGGAATAATAACCTACTACTGCAGAGTAAAGAGGTCTCACATTTACAGAGTAACAAAACTTCTAAAATACACCAAGCGTTTATCCACTGGAAACAAGAAAGGAGAAGAATGACCTTGAAAACTATTTAATTCTAGAACTCCGATCCACTAAGTTATTACAGCTATGAGAAAGGAAAACGCAATCCCTGGTTCATGGAGGGAAGTATTAGCGCCACCGAACAAAGCAAGATCACATCTGGAATACTTTACGCAGTGCCAGTCTTCCACCTGCAGAAAGATTAAAACCGGAACAGGTACAGAAAATGCACTCCTGAGATAATAATGAAGGGCTTACTTTGTGGGAGAAGACCAAAAGAGCTTGCTCTGTTTATCTCAGTAAAAAAGGTGAGAGGAAATGTATTTGGCTTCTAGAAACACATCAGCAAAGAAACATGAGGGTAGCAGAAATATTTCAATTAACAAGAACAAATGGATATAAACTGGCCATGAATAAATTTGTATAATATATCTGAAGCCATAATATATAATAAATCTGAAGCCACAAAATTATTTCTAATCAAAAAGGTGAAGGTGGCCCATCCTCCCTACAATAATGGGTATCCTCCCAAGTGCAGAAAAGACTCTCACATTCTTTCAGGAAAAAAAAAGGAAAGGACACAACTAACCCTGAATAAGCACAAATCATTTGGAGCACTCCTGACTCTGCCCACTACTTTACACAGCTGCCTCTGGCCGCAGCTCACTGGGTGGCAAACTCTTACAGATGTTACCCTTAGAGGCAGGAGAATTGGGAATTGTGGTGTGACGGTATAGAGCAGGCTCTTGAAAGCAAGGCCCACTCCAACTATTCTCCAATGTGTTTCTGTACTAGTTCAGACTCGAGGGCGCAGCCTGCCTCTGCCTGCCCTCTCGTGTCTCACGGCAGTAGTGCCACTTCTGTCCCAACATTTGCTGAATGACTTGTTCGTGTGCCTACTCCAAGGTCATGGAAGGGTATACATCAAAGCAGTATCTCTTAACTGACTCCCATCGGCGCACTAAGTTTCTGGAAGGGTGAAGGTTGTTGGCAGAGGGTGCTTACATCTTCAGGTTACCCTGTAATTACTCTGGCCAGGAGCAAATACTCTTACGGAAGGGGTAGCGTACAACACAGTCCTTGTTTGGGAATTACTACCATTACACTCAACAACGTGAAACTGGAGGACTTCTCACCACCTAGACAAGGGGTGGACTCATCTCCTGAGCTGCAAGGTACTTGCTCCTCTTTTCAGGGTCCCTGGAGTGTAGGAAAGCACATGCGCCATGAAGATTCCCATAGAGGAGACGTTGCATGGAGCCATACAAACCTCTTCACCAGAAGTGCTGAGCAGGACCACGTTGCCCACATTATCACCTGTCACCACTGCACGGCAGCTTGCAGAAACGTCAACGCTGCAGTACCAGCAACTAGAGGGAAAGACACAAAATCAGTGCTGCCTCCCACGGGCAAGTGAAGGCAGCGGAGCTCTTGTTCCCATCTCGTCCCTGACAAGGGAGACTGCAACAGATCGTAACTGCAATCTCCTGCCTGATGGTTCGGGCCTGAGTATCAGGAAGGGGGATGGCTTATCGGCAATATGAATATGAAATAACGTCCTAGTCATTTGTGAAGTGCTCGTTAGATGGAGCGTGACACGTTGGACAGTTGAACATAACAGAGGCTAAAGAGCCACTTGGTGCCTGCACATGGACGCACCTTGGGAAAGATCAGAAGACCCTTGTGACACTGACAAATGTACAGAAACAGCTTTAAAGATTATGTTTTCCACAAAAGACTGAAGCAGCAGTAAAGAAAAGACAAAAGCTTTGGACTGGAAAGTTGCACATCAAACTGTCTCAATTTCATGCTCCAGGAAACAAAACTGAATAGACTTATCTGATAAAGACACACATCTTAACCCCAGCTCTGCTGGGAGGGGAAGGGCAGCAAGAACAAAGCTGGGGTCCTTTGGGAACTTGCTGAGAGAGCTTCAGTTGCAAAGATAAATTATTCTAGAATTCAAGGTCATGAAAATCAGCGTGGTGGGCCTGAAACCTCCAGAAGGGCAGGAGGGTAAACCCAGTAACTTTAAACTCAGAATGTGCAGGAATTTTTTGTGGCTTGCTTAGGCTACCCGAGCTGCCACAGACAAAGCACAACACCGATGACACTGAAGAGGAGGAAGGTATCCTGCTCTTCTCACCTCACACTTTATGAAGTGAAAAGCTGTCAGCACCTGCAAGACAGGAGATGGTGTCACTAGAAAACACCACCAGAAGACAAAGGCAGCAGGCTCAGCTACTGTAAAAACATTAAGTGCCCTGTGGCTGCCTAGCTTTTCACCCACCCTGCAGTGCTAGGGTCAGGACCAGGAGCCCGTCTCCAAGCTCCCTCACAGGACCAATTCATACCAAGTCTCCTAACACTGGCAAAGATGAAGATGTTAGAGAGCACAAGAAGCAGTGCAGCATTAACCCCAAGGAACAGAGAATCGACCTTGCGGTGCTCTCTTCTCACCAAACATTATGGTACTCATGGCCACAGTCCGGGGCACGGGAGATCACCTGCACCGCTCTGCCCTCAAGGTCCTGCAGACTTAGGGTGCCATCCCCTGATGCCACATAAAGCTTCACTGCCTCATTAGGACTGAACTTGATGTCTCCGAGAGAATCTCCTGGCCCTTTCTGGAATACACACAAAGCCAAGAGGCATCAAGGTTAGAGTGGAAGACAAAATCTTAATACAACACTCATCTCCTGGAACACACTGCCGGCTTCCCTAGCTACAATGCACTGCCTTCTGACAGGGCACGTACATAAGAACTTTTTTTTTCTAATCTGTTTCCAATATCAGCACATATATTCTAAGCATATAACTTCAGCCCCACCACTTTGGGCTGCAAACCTCATTAGCAGCATTGCTTCTTCTCCTATGGGGGTAGGTCTAATCTGCAGTGAACCACCTGGCTCAGACCAGGCTTAGAAGATCACAAGCAAAACCAGCACCATTCCATGCAGAAACCACATAAAACCTCATGACAACCCTGCACCAAGCTTTTCTTACAAAGATTTCATTCACCAGTTCCCTACAGGCTGCTTCCAGTGCTGTATCTGGTCTTTCTCAAGGTACCAGCAGGCAGGATGAGAGTGGTGCAAGGAGAAATCCTACTGCTAAAGCCACGGCACAGGAATCTTATGTTCTGTGTTATGTTATATTGCTGTTACGTTGTTTTGTTATGTTGTTTTCCCCCAATCTGTCTACTGAGGAAACGTGGAAACCCTACTGAAAGACAGAAAAGAAGGATGCTAGCTGGGAGTCCCCAAACTCTTTGATACTCAAGTGCACCCAATCTACTGCTCACACAGCAACTACTCCATAAAGTCTCACTGTAGTTACTAGATTTCAAGAAGCCAATGGAGATAAAAAAAGGCCTGCCCATAGAGCCTGCCTGTCCTCACAGCAGTAGAAGGAGGATGGCATGCCCTTTCAGATCAAGGCATCACTGCAGTGACAGGCATCCCACTGGGGTATGAGATCCTCCCGTCCCAGGACCCAGTCTGTCCCTCCTTGCTCACCTGGCCGGTCAGCCCAACACTACTGGGGTTCACCTTCTGCCCTATTACAAGGCTGCAGCTGGAACAGCCAGTTTGGAAACCAACCATGAAAGTTGCCACCCGGAAACAATCAGGTGGGGAAAAGCAAAGAGGGGGCTAACCCAAATTCCCTCACTTACCTTTAAGCACTGAACTGAAGTAACTAACTGAAGAGCTCAGGCTTCCTCCTGAGTCCACAGAAAAAGCAACAGTTTGAGAGGGTGATTCTAAGCATAGGCAGATAGAGTTGCCTCTAGTGATTCATCTCCTCTTTCTGCTCATTACTGAAGGAGCCCAGACTCTTCATTTTGGTATTTCAGATAAGCACCAAAAGTTAGGTGGCATGAACTGGGGTGACCCTTACGACACGCACCACTTGAAGTCAGTGGTGTTTGGGGAGAAGCACTGAGGGGACTATAAATTGCCCTGTAAAAACCATCTGAAAACGAGCAGCACTGCTAACAGGTGAAGAGGTTAGAAGGTCCCCAGGGCACAGAGCTATGGGAGGTTTAAGAACAGACAGCTGAGGAAATCCACTGGCACCCCCACGCTCTCCCATGTACAACAGGAAGTAAGCAGCACCAAAGAGTCCCTCCCCTTCATGAAGAAAAACTCTCTCCTACCCACCACCCCGTTTCAGGGAAAAATAAAAAGGGAGCGTGAGCCTCCCTGGAAGAGAGAGCATCCCTGAAATTCAGAGGATAAAGGACATGCAGGTGGAGAAAAAGTAGCCCAGCTCCCACATATTAGAGACAAACATCCTTCTCTCTCTCTCTCTCTCTCTCTCTCTCTCTCTCTGTAGCACTCCTGCCAGCAGGACACAGAGGCCCAAAGCATTGCTGTATTTCTTACTCCCAGTCCTCGGTGCTGGTGAAGACCCGGACAGTATTGCCATTAAAATCCTGCAGGGTGGTAGTGCCGGCAACTGACGAAGTGTACAGCTGACTAGGGTTAAAAGGGTTAAACTTCATTCCTGTGATGGCCCCTCCAGCTCCCATCTACAAGGAAGGGGAGGAACAAAAGAAAAATCCACTGAGTGATGGGGAAGGAGAAAAGTGTGTTCTCTAAGTCTGCATTCACTGCTATGTCCTTAACAGCAACAGTGAAACACACCACAGCCCTTCAAGGAGGCAAAGACAACCATGTCTCCCCACAGGATGGCTGTCTAGACAGCTGCCCTCCTGGAGGACAAAACCGCAACTCCTTCAGTCCCCAGGCAACGTATTCCCTGGCTGGCTGGCACCACACTAGTTACAAAAAGAGAAAGATGACTCTGGAAATTCTGGAGGACAGACCTCCTCCCAGCGTATACCTACATTAATTTAGAAAGGGGATAACAGTTACAGCCCCTGTTGGAATGGGAATGGCTGAATATAGCAACAAGGGGGCATGCCAGCTCTATAAACCATTCATTCTACCTTAGTTTCTCACTTCAGATAAAGGGACTTTGTTTCTCCCCCCTCAAAGATGTTTCCTCATCTAACACAGAATTAAAGGTGAGCAGAGAAAGATCAAGACCTAAAACAGACAGACCCTCTCTGCCTACTTATTTCTGGCATATTTAAGATCACTGTTTTGCCAGTTGCTGTATTATTTTTCCACTGAGCACACGCCAAGTACTGCTGCATCATGAACTTAATCAACACGCCTCAGTTCTCCCCAACGCTAGAACAGTCTGCGACTCAGGAACAGACATGCTGTTGCACCTCAGTCCTGCCCCATAGCTGGCTACTCTGCAACCCAAACCCCTTACGTGCTTCTCACAACAGACCTCAGTTTTGATTTGCAGTATTTGGTGGCACTCCAGTTTTCCCTCCCACCCGTTGCACGCACCCAGAGGCTTACCCCTTTTATGAAGCAGGTTTTAGTAAGTACTTCATAGTCCCAAAGGATGATGTCTCCACCTTTGGAACCAACAGCTACAGTACTGGGGTGTGTTGGGTGCCATTCCAGGCATGTCACTCTCCTGTCAAAGGGACTTGCTGTTCGAAAGAGGCGGTATGAGGCAAGGGAACGCAGAAAGGGCAGCTGCAGACACTGTTAAAAAGATAAAGAGAATTACGACTTTTGCAGGGATCCCTGAGATTCTCCGAATGAGGAGTGCTAACAATTTCTAATTGCCATCAGCGTTAGTACATTCACGCAAAAGTCTAAACCTCTCTGCAGACTGAAGAGAACATGCTGTCTGTCCCCAAGAGAAACAGCCTGGGACCACACAAACCCACATCAGCCACAGCACTCAGAAAGCAACAGAGAACTGAGAGATCTCACACTTTAAATGATGTACAGGGAGCTAAGCCTTGTGGGCTGAGCTAAAAAGGCAGGATAATTAACGAGGGAGAAGAACATGCCTCCACACCAGTAAAAGGCACTTATGACTATCTGTGTCTTTACTGAGGATGCCAAAATGTTACACATCATCCAGAGAGACAATATTATAGTCCTCCATCCAAATTACCTGCAGCTCAACTATACAGCATAACAGTGAACAGAACACTTGAAATAGGGAATGAGAAGCCATGACACGATTGTACCGTTATTCAGCTGAGGAACAGGTACTGCTTGGATGAGCTTGGTGATTTCCTTATCATTTGGATACTTAAAATAGATAAATCATCTAGAAGATAAAGCTAGCCCAGGTGCTTCCCACCTATGGATGTTACAAAAAAGTTAACTTTCAAATGAAAGGAGGAGTATGGCTCTGAAAAAAACAGTAAAACATTATGGACTTGATGGAGTATGTCTGTGAGGAGTCAAAATCAACACTATAGCTGACATGATTAGCGAAGTAGAGTGGATACGAAAATAGTACAACAAAACAGTCAGATCAGTGTGCAAAAGTAGCACTGTGCAATAACTCAATTGGTAGAGTGAGTAATTTTAAATATGATTCAAGAAAGCACAGAATTAGCAGAAGATAAAGTGTAGAGTGACAGGGCTGGGTCAACCAAAAGGGAAAGCCATCTCAGCTCTTGCATTTTACAGGATTAAGAAATACAAGGGTGTGCCAGGCTTGGAGCCACAAACTGTGTTATGTGAGGAACTTTAAGCCCCTTTAAAGTTTCCCTGCTTGTGTTGAAGACGTCTTTACGTGGGGAGCTGAGATGTCCAACAGGTCACGAAAGAGAAACTCCTCACCTGCCTGAGCTGCGCCCGAATGGAGCCTCCCAGCATGTTCTGGTAGACGTAATGAACAATGCTGCACGGCTGATGGAAAAGGGCTCTGTTGTTTCTCACCACGGAGCCACCTCCATTCCAACCTGCCACAGAGGAAAAGAGCGAAACTTACTGAGAGCCAATGCCCGTCATGCTCATTCACTAAACAACACCGGAAGACATCTGCATTTACTACTATATCCATTAAAAGCTTTAGCCACAAGATAAAAGTCTCTAAATGATTCTTACATGTCTGCAATTACGGAGTCCAGTGCTTGCCATAGCCTGCCAGAGCTTTGTGTATGCTTCCTCTTGTTAAACCCTCCTTCTCCTTGCCAAAGATTTATCAAAAAGACAACAGGAGAGGACTAAAGCAATGCCACGGGTGGTGCATCTCTTGGACAGCGTACAATTTGAATGGTTCACACCCAAAACACAATGAAGCTATCCAAAGCCCCAACAACTTGGAAATATGCCACGGGAGGAGGCAAGCCCCTGGATAGAGCAAAGGGAAGGTCAGACGTGTGACCAGCAGAAACGTTAACACCTGAAAATTCCCCACGCGTAGCAACATGAGTTCCCACACAGTTCCTGAAATGCCCGCTTGTGAATCAGAATATTCGATCTGCTTGTGCCTGTAGCCCGTACAGTCTGCTTACAGCACTGTGAGTTTTGTTTTTGATAATAGATTTGCTGATGCCTCATCGCCTGAAAACCTTTCTGTTTGGAGTGATTTTTGCTGAGAACACAGCACGCTTCTACATTTTGTTCATGTTCCAAGTTTTTATCTTCAGGGATCTTTACATAAAAACTGGATCTGTTCAGCCCCGTATCTGTGATCTAATCATCTCAATGGGAATGGTCTGTAACACTCCGGGGGATCTAGACATCAAATGCATTTCTTAAGAAACAAAAATGCTATTTTCATTTAAGGATAGTTATAAAAAAACCCAGAAGACCAAAAACAGAGGGATCATTCTGTATGATTAGAACCTAAATGAAATCTTTCTTTCATGCAACACTGGGGCCTAGAAATGCACAGGTGTGAAACTAAACTTCTTTGTTCACATGCCAGCATAGTGCCAACACTTCTCACACCTGTTGAAATAGGTATAGAAGTATTTATATTCAAATTCCTTTTTTCACAGAAGAATTAGCACCCACAGTTCCTTCTTCAGATGTGGCAGAAATGGAGGTATTTTTTCCAAATTCCATTTTATTATGAAGGATAATTTATTAAGAAACAAACTTTAGGCCTTTTTAGAATCTGCTGGAAGAAATGCATTTAAAAAAGTGTTTCAATTGCAAGAAACTGAACCTGTCCTATATGGATCAGGAGAAAAAAACACTTAAAAATCAAAACTGGAATACCAAATGGAAAAGCTCAAATACAAAGGTTTAAGGGAAAGATATGATTTTCTTCATTTTTCCAAAGTACTAGCTACATCCAACTCCCTCTGAATCTTACAGGAACTGCAGATGCTTACCAAATCTGAAAATCAGGCCATGAAGTCACAATGAAAATCATGTAGCTAAATTAACTACGGAAGATGCACAGAACTCTTTTCGGAGTACTTTGCCTCCACGTCCACTGTTCACACCGCCAGCTGCTCCAAGTTTGGAGTTACACACCAGACAATGGAAATGTACAAAATCATAGATGTACAAAATGTACAAAATCCTGTATCTCTGACTGTTGAAAAACACTTCAGTAATTTCTGGATCCTTAAAGCCAAAACTGTACAGAAAGTGTGTAATATTTCCACACAAGGCAGTAACTCTAGTCATCTCCTAAACAAACGATGGAATTAAAGGTTTTATCTGAGAAAAGGACACTGAGGGGAGACCTTATCGCTCTCTACAACTACCTGAAAGGAGGTTGTAGTGAGGTGGGTGGTGTTCTCTTCTCCCAGGTAACAAGAGGAAATGGCCTCAAGTTGTGCCAGGGGGTTTAGATTGGATATCAGGAAAAATTTCTTCACCGAAATAGTTTTCAAGCACTGGAAGAGGCTGTCCAGGGAAGGGGTGGAGTCACCATCCCTGGAGGTATTTAAAAGACGTGTAGATGTGGCACTTAGGGACATGGTTTAGTGGTGGACTTAGCAGTGTTAGGTTAATGGTTGGGCTCAACAATCTTAAAGGTCTTTTCCAACCTAAACAATTCTATGATTCTATGAAAATAGTCCTTACTGCAGCTCAAGCCTACGCAACTTTCATGATAATGTTAAGCATTAACCTTTCTAGTATCTTAGAACTTAAATCACCTCTCCTCATGATATCAAAAATCTTTAAGATTTTTTTTTTTAAAGTTACATACTAAAGGAAAAAGTAGAGGTAGAAAGTATTCCTACTTACTGTAGCAAAAGTTAGAACATGCAAAGAATCGGGTGGAAATGCCAGTTTAGACTCCATGCTGTAAGATACCAACCTTACAACTATGCAACTGCATTAAGAATTGCATGGGAGAAAAAACCCAATGTATTACCAAGATTGGTCTGCCCTACAATAAAGGAGACATCTGGTAGTTCAGGAATTCCATAAAACTTAACCACGCTCAAATGAGCTGTGACAGCATCTTCAGCGAGCAGGCTTCTACCAAGGGAGTCTCAAAAATGAAACACACATGCACGGGCACACACACACACCCCGACTAGACAGATAACTGGAGGAGGTACTACCCCAATACATGTCCATGTATCACTTCAATATATAACCCCATCTGAACACTCATGTCTGAACACGCTTCTTGGCGTTCTCCCTCTTCAACTAGTCGATGCCTGTCATTTAGGGTAAATCTGGTTGGGAGAAACAATAAGGATCTGAGGAAATGTTACCGATTTTCTCTGGGGGTTTGGATGTTTTTCTCACAAACAACCTCTTGGCTTGCGGCTCATTCCCTAGCTCCTCGTAGTCCGGTTTTCTCTTCCCAGTTGATTTTGCCTCTTCTGGCCAATGCTCATGTGCCCTCTCATGCTCCTTTGGCTGGTTCACTGGAGCCATTCTGTCTGAACACTAAAAGCAAACAAAGCATGGAAGGTAAGACTGTCATACACTTTTAACTAGAGAACAGAGAGGAAAACTGGAATGAATTACACCCCAGTGGTCTGAAGGTAGTGATTATACCTGTACCCTCTTTCATCAGCATGACACTAGCTTTTTGTTGTGCTCTGCTGGAGAGGGGAACAGGTTCAATAAACTCTTCTTTGTTCACGTATGAAAATGAACGTATCCTAAAGCATTAGAATATGTTTTGACAGATGTGCTTCTACCAAACTTTTAAGCTTAAAACCCACACATCTGCATAAAGTACATCTGTGAAACCACATAATACCCTAACTGTTTCTCTTGTAGCTCACACTGAGCTCTTTAGTTTCAGCTCAGAAAAACGTCAGAGCTTTTCTGATGATGGCCAGGGCCGACTGGTCTTCCACCAAACAGGCTCAGAGGTACTTCCTATTTAACAGTCACTTTTCCTCACGGTGTGAGGATTGGGATCCCACACTGGCTGGCAACCACACCTGAACC